GGGTCTCGGGCCAATCTTATGTCATACATGTGCTCAACAAAATGTGTTTTCTTTTTCCAGGTTGTGTAGTTTGGTATCAGAATTAATAGACGTATTGCTTGTAGGACATTGACGGCAGGAACTTGAAATTAACTGTGGAGTGCTACCCTCTCAAACAGGGCTGGGAATCAAAACTGCGTCGTATCCTACAAAATGTAAACAAACGCCGCCATCTTGGAACGAAAAACGTATGTTTTTGTTTATAACTTTTTTTGTTGGAAATGACTGAAAACCAGATATATGTATTAACACGCTACACAATTTTCCGCTTCGTTCGGTATATGTTGCTTGCACAACTATTTTGTAAAACAAAAGTTATAGCGAACTTGCATCTCGAAGCGGGGCAGAATTTTTATGAAAATGTATGGATACGACGCAGTTCATATTGCTTTATATATCGTTTTTTCCTTCAAATCAATTATTTATTTGTTTCAGAGTTCACCATAAACTTCGAAATATAATTTTGCATCATTTACTAAAATTTCATTAAAAAAAGATGTTTATTTTCCAAGAAAATAATGATTTTTACGAAATGATACGACGCAGTTGAAAATAAATATGATACGACACAGTTGTATTTTCATTGCAGGCTGCATATTGGTTAAACTATTTAAATTATGTGATAGGTATGCTAATAACGTCCAACAACATTTCTTGTTTACGGTGTACAGCAATGTTCTGTTGCTTTTGATTATTTAGAATAAATTGTGTCATGTCCAGTATAACATTTAATTTGAAAGTTTACATTGCTACTTTTCAGTTAAACATGAACATATTACCTAATTGATCATAATATCTGAAATAATTTCTTATATTTTCCGGTATGTTCAATATTATCCCTAATTCTTTTTCGCAAAAAAATATAGAAATCTATTAACTTGAATTCATGTTGGCTAGCTACGCTCTAAGTTAACTGTGGTTCTGCATGTTCTGGCTTCTGGGTAATGACTGCTTTTTGTGGTTTCTCTTCAAACTTTCACTCTACACATTAGCTTTAGTAGGGGCGAGGACCTCGGGTGCGCCTTTGTGCATTATTTCAGGCAAAATGTTGCACCTGCAGAGAACCATCGACATTTTGAAACTAGCTTGATAGGTTTTCCACACGAAAGAATAAAAAGTCCCTGGTAGTTTTCGAATTAATAGCAGGTCAATTCAAGTGATTTGAATTCAGTAAACATTAACAGCTCGGACACACCTGTCGGATTTGTTTTTTCAACAAAATTTGTTAACGTCAGCTGTACAAATAAGCAGCTTTTTTATTAACTTCTGGCGTGAAGTTTTAAGATTATAAATATTTGAATTAATTATAAAGAGAATAACATTTAAATTTCTGATTTCGGTATGACTAGCAGAGAAATTTTCAATGTAAACAGGGGGTAATCCTCTGTAAAGTCATTTTCTGAAAACCTTTGTTTAAGTTTTCTCAAATAAAAATCACACTTTAGTATGAAGGTATGTTAAGATGCCATGTCTCTAGTCTATTGAAAATTCGATGCGATAATCTGACCTAAATTTTCTGTTCAATATTGTGAAAACTTCTTCAATACTGTTGAAAGATCATGTCTGCCTATATCTGTATCAAATTTATCGGTGAACAGCGTAAAATACCTTTGCAAAACGGACCCCTTCTTCACAAAATAATCTGTAGTTGTATCATAATTATGTAACTCGATTGTGAAAATTTAAGGTTTTTAATGGAGAAGAATGATACAAATATAGAAAATACATTCCGTAGACCTTTCCTCATCGGCGATAAAGAAATGCAATACAACAAAATTAGAGGTAAAGTTCCGCGGCGCTGAACATAAAATGACTAAACGGAACGCATAACCTACTTGCAAAAATATCTTGTAGCTTAACCATTTATAATATAATTTTAAAAATTTAATGTTCAGTTTCAAATAATAAAGCTCATCTGTTCTCACCGATTATTATAAGAAAATGAATACAATAAAATCGGCACGTAAAAGACATAAGTAATAACGGAATTGACGAAAATTATTGCTAATTACAAGTAACAAGGTAGGCATGCAATTTGCGCATAGCTCTCTTCCGATAGCAAGAGACCTTTTCAAAATTTGTAATTCTTTCTCTTTTTTTTAAAAAAAAAACAAGGTCAGTCCTGATTAATACTAGTACAGGGTCCAGGAGAGTTTACACTGGAATATTGAATTTTGTATCAACAAGAGCGATCAGTAATCACATGTGTCGCCTCATGATGGCCAATTTCATGTTGGGACAAATTTTGTGACAGACGGACAGACAGACGGACAGTGCACAACTAGACTTTGTACTGATCATTCCTGTAAAGTTTGGATAAAATTGCACCAGTAGTTTATGAGGAGTAGTCCGGACAAGCTTTTGTGTATCTGGCAACACTCAGAAAAAGAAACCTTTTTATCAAAGGGCCATAACTCGGCCAAAAATCATTCAACCGGAAAACCCGTGCAATATGCGCAAGGACTTGAGCTACAGATCAATCCTGTAAAGTTTCATTGAAATTGCATTAGTGGTATAAGAGAAGTAGTCCGGACAAACTTTAAAATTAAAAATTATTAAAGGGCCATAACTCTGACAAAAATCATTGAACCGGAAAATCCTGAGAATATGCACAACTAGACTTGGTACTGATCATTCCTGTAAAGTTTGAATGAAATTGCACCAGTAGTTTATGAGGAGTAGTCCGGACAAGTTTTGTGACGGACGGACGGACAGACGGACAGACAGACAGACGGACAGACAGACGACAGAGAAATGATCCCTATATGTCGCCACTACTCCGTAGAGGCGACACAAAAATAGTAATCACTCCCAATTCGAACTCACGGGAACAATTTTAGAAGCATGCTAAGGCAACACTGGAACACTTTGACATGTGGGAGTGCGATCATGTGTTTCAATGTATATTGCGTTTGATACAGCTTTTCGAAATTTGTAGATGCTTATAATGGGTACTTAAATGCGACCGAAAAACGCAGCCTTAATAGAATTGTATTACATTTCCATTTTTATGGAACCAATGAGTGACCTCTGCTTTTGACTTAAGTTGTAAACAAGAAATGTTGTTGGACGTTATTAACATACCTATCACATAATTTAAACAGTTTAAAACCAATATGCAGCCTGCAATGAAAATACAACTGCGTCGTATCATATTTTATTTTCAACTGCGTCGTATCATTTCGTAAAATCATTATTTTCTTGGAAAATAAACATCTCTTTTTAATGAAAATTTAGTAAATGATGCAAAATCATGTTTTGAAGTTTATGGTGAACTCTGAAAACGAGTATATAATTTATTTGAAGGAGAAACGATAGATAAAGCAATATGAACTGCGTCGTATCCACACAATTTCATAAAAATTCTGCTCCGCTTCGAGTTGCAAGTTCGCTATAACTTTTGTTTTACAAAATAGTTGTCTAAGCAACATATACCGAACGAAGCGGAAAATAGTGAAGCGTGTTAATACATATATCTGGTTTTCAGTCATTTCCAACAAAAAGAGTTATAAACAAAAACATACATTTTTCGTTCCAAGATGGCGGCGTTTGTTTACATTTTGTAGGATACGACGCAGTTTTGATTCCCAGCCCTGTCAAAGAGATCTATTAAATAAAATACATAATGGCTTACAAATAGTAAGTTTTGTTTCTTTTAAAATTTTAAGACTTATATCATCCGGCCCAACCGCCTTGTTTGCGGGTAATAACGCCAATATATCAATTATTTCTTGGTAAGCAATTGTAAAATTTTCAATATCGTTGTTTGATTTTTAAGATTTCCCTTTTAAAAAAGCCTCTGGCGAACGGTTTGTTACGGAGCTTACAAAAAACAACAACTCATGTTTGTTGATAAGAATTAAAATGTATTTGTAAAGATCACTATTTAAAGTCCGATCGAGAAACTTGATATTTCACCACAACATTGAAATAAAGTTTATTTATAGTTCTTTGGAAAAATATTAACTGCAATCATATTTAAAATAAGGTTCAATATGGCACCAAAAGTTATCAAGTAAATGGCTAACAGAATAGAACATTTTTCGAAGCATCTTTTTATTTTTATGGAATACATTCACAATTTATGAACTATAGTAGGCCTACATTGTTATATGGCCACACTTATATATATTCCAAGTGGTATAATTAATAAAACACTGACCACTTAAGCATCAAACACATTTTCTTATTACTGCTACATCAGAATTTAAATGGCACTTAGTAAGATTGATTTTATTCAAACTTAAAAAGTATGCTTGTTACCACTACCTACAACATATGTGATTGGATTAATAACTCTAGCTCCTGCATTTCTCCATTTTGAACCTGAATTTAATTTGAAAATTGTTATCTTTATTAAGCTCGACTTTTTCGAAGAAAAATGAGCTATTGCTGCAGTCATGTTGCTAATGACAGAGCAATATCGAAGAATAAATATCATCTATTTCGTTTAAAAACCAACTATTAGTTTTGATTTAGATTATAATTGTATTAGATGAACATCTACTTAAAAGATCTTCGATTTTTAATCTAAATTGCTGTTTAGATAAACAGAAATGGCAATAGAAATTTTTCATGATAAAACGCTTCGACGCTTAATTTGCTAAACGGGAAACACCGCCACAACTACAGTTCATTCATGAAGTAATCATTTTTACGTTCCCTTGAAACTTTAGATATAGCGTTCTTCAATTTTCGATATTCGATGCAGAATTTACCAAAAGCATGTAAAGTCATCACTTTACCTTTTTTGACGGAAGTAGCGATAGATACTTCCGAAACAGGTTGCTTTATTGTTTACAAGGTGTGATATATGTTTAGACATTAGTGCTTTCAACCGGTGTCAAATAATAATAGAACATTATTGCAATGTCTACATGAGTTATTGATTATTTCTTGTCAGCCTATATCACTTATTCAGAATTATAATTAATGGGTTTAGAAATATGGAATCCGATGCATAATTCATAAGAACTTGATCGTATAGTTGTTGAACCATTATAATGCTTTATAAACTTGTTCAGAAATGATAAACACTTTAACAGACCAATCCCTGTCTCATGAGCCTTGAATTTCTAATAGTTAATTGAATATCTTGCTTGTCTGCTTTTCTTTTATATCTAAACACGTTCTCCCCGTTTTTATTAAACATGTCAATTGAATTGACTAAATCTCCCAGGTATTAAAAAGATTGGCTATATGAATTATTAACACCATGGAATTGCAAAACTGCGTAATGCTCCGGATGTACATTTATAAACAAAATTCATTCTGGAAGTTTTCTCCATTTCAGAACTGTCGCATCATCTTTTAAACATATCTATTGAAAACGTGCAAGGAACTAATATTCCGTCACAGATAAACAGCGAACGTATTGAATTAAAATGTAACATGTTTAACAAATCTGAACAGAAACAAAACATTGATTGCAAGGAAACAGTGCGATTGCATACAGTAAAATGGCAAGATACAGATAATAAAAGTAAAACGGAACTGTCCGACACAGAATCAACATCAGTCAGTAAATTTTCTCGTGTTAATCGCAAAAACTTGTCACATTCGGGCGATTTACGGACTATCAGGAGTGTTTTGAAAACTGCGCATTATAGTGAAAATAAATATAATTATAGGCCGGTGACTGTTGGGTCCACTAGAGACAAGGATATTTTCATTGCACCTAGATGGGAGTCTATTGAAAATCAGAAGTGTAATCTAAAACTGTATAGATCAGATAGTAAGAACACGACACAATCAAGCTATAAGGATTATGATGATAGCCTCAGAGGAAGATGCCCGACATTGGAAGACAAAAGTGAAGGAACACAGTTACCAACAGTAAAATTTAATGTGGGCGATAATCGTGTAGGTTTTAAGAGCCGCTGGACTGGTATCAAAACTGTTTTAAAGGAAAAGGTTCAACAGACAGGTGACGTATATAATTACTTTAGTGCATTAAACATGAAAAAGAGAATGAAGTCTGAATCATCGAGCTCTGTTGAAAATGGACTTAGCGCAATCATTACATCACCAGTAAGGTCCGATGTATCACGGGGAAACGATGAGGTTAATACTGAGTCATGTGAGGAATCACAGGAAGTTAAACATCTCTCCATATCTGACAGTGATGAATACGATACTGACCTGGAAATAGATCAAGATTTCGGTAAAAAAGGTAAGAGCTGTTCTTTTTTCCGTTAATATAGTGAAATTCAGCAGTCTGATAAAACCTCACTATATTCGTTTAGGGAAAACATACTGTTCTTTACGGACAAAATTAAATAAGATTTTGTCCTATGACAAACGCTCATTTTATATAGTAACTATCATTATTCAATTTTCATCTAAAAATAACAATTTTCGTTTAAAAATATTTTAACAAAAAATAATCATTATAACATAATGACAGAGTTATGAAGTTTTTTTCTTTGATCTGCAAGATATGTTTTTATACTGATTTTCAAAAGATGTCAGAGAATTAGAAGAACGTATATTTTCGAGTTTATAAAAGTGCAAATTTTTTATTTGGTAATCGATATTTCACTCTATATTTCACTCCCATTGTTTACGTCTGATACTTGAGCTTCATTATGAAATGCAGTACCTCCCCAGTGATCTAGAATGATAGAAAATGGTCTAACAAAATAAATCAGCACACCAATATCTTTAATTCAGTTATTAACGCTGTACAGACGTTTAAAGAGTTGTTTACGTGACGTCAAATATCGCGTGCAAAACAAGACACATCTATAAATAATATATTACTGCGCGCTGTACCATTGCAGTTGCGTAGCAAGCAAGGGGGTTCGTAACCATTTTCTTTGATAATGAAATTAAATAAAAAGGTAATTTCTTCGTTTCTCGTAAAATATGGTATATATTTTCACTCAACATGATAAAATGCCACATATTTTCACTTGCTGTCCCGGCTCGTGAAAATATGTGGCATTTTATCATGTTTCGTGAAAATATAATTCATATTTCACGAAAAACGAAAAACTATCCTCTTAATATTATTATTATTATATACCACATTTCTATAGCACTCTTTTCATAAATAATATTAAATGTTCAAGAGTGCTTTACATAAATCCGATAAAACATAATCATATATATATAAGACATAATGTACAACATAAATTAAGTAAACCTATTAAACAATAATGATAATCTAAAACCAGTAAAGGATGGTAAGAAATACAGACACATTTAGTTTAAAATCAAGGCACAATTAAAATTAACACTGATAATATAGCAAAGTAGTACATGATTTATGAACTAACGTCCATAGAACTTTATGAAATAATGTGTTTTGAGAGCTCTCTTAAAACATGGCAAGGTATTACAGTCTCTAATGTCAGGTGGTAACGCGTTCCATAATTTCGCTGCGGCTGTCTGTCAAATATATTTCTGGGCGGAGTTAAAACTAATATTGATTTTAAGGGACTCCTTTCGCCATTTTGTTTGAAAAATCTGATAAATACAAAACAACTTTTTGTTGTATTTTGTTTTGAAAACTAACAAAAATGATAGAAAATGGTCTAACTAAGAAAATAAATCTGAACACCAATATCTTTAATTCAGTTATTAACACTGTACAGACCTTTAAAGAGTTGTTTACGTTACAATGTAGCGCCAATATCGCGTGCAAAGCAAAAACATGACGCATGCTTAATAATTAATAATATTACTGCGCGCTGTACAATTGCAGTTGCGTAGCAAGCAAGGGGGCTCGTAACCATTTTCCTTTGATAATGAAAATTATTTTTTTTGTTTTTCGTGAAATACGGTATATATCTTCACTCAACATGATAAAATGCCGTCCCGGCTCGTAAAAATATGTGGCATTTTATCATGTTTCGTGAAAATAAATTCCATATTTCACTGAAACGAAAAAATATCCTCTTACTATTACTGTTTTATACGATAATATACGATGTATATATAAACCTAATTATTTTAATAGCATATATAATTTTCGGAAAGAATCACATAAAGTAACTTGATCAAAAGATACATACATTTTCATGGCGAAACAAGGCTAGTAAATAATTACAACAAGTATGAAAATAACAGTTACTTATGTTAAAGTTTAGAATTTCGAAAAAAAAAACATGCTTTAATCACATTTGAAATTTTAAAAAGGGAGATAATAATTTACAAACATCGCTATCAAGCATTTTGTTATATTTGGAATGGTCATCATGACGTTAATAAATAGATATAAAAAAGTCAGTAACAAATATTTCTTGTGGAAAGCCATAATGTTATCTCTAGGAAATCCAAATTCTAACTGTCCAAATTTTCTATCTTTACAATATTTCTAAAAATGGTTTCGTTTTAAACTGATCAATAACATTTGTTTCTTAATAATCAAAATGACCAATCAGGTTTCAATACAAAATAAGGTAACTTAGCAACATGGAATTTATAACAATAATCATCACTTGGACATTTTATCAGCCATAAGGTTTAACAACTCAATACAGGCAGCTTAATTTACATTATCACCTAAACATAATAAAACTTTTAGCACAATTGATTGGACAAGGAGGAAAAGGCACATTTAATCTTCCGGTTATATAATTATTAATTATACATTCGTTACTAAAACATTAGACACTTTAACTTTAACATATTTGTTATTTCACATATTCTTTTGAAAATATGGTCTTTTTAAATAATAACAATTTCAGATTTTAGAATACGCTGTTTTTCAGCTGCACAACACTAACCTTGTTTTGTCCCGTAACTGCGAGTAAAAAAACAAAAAACATTTTTCGATGCACCTTTCGCAGAAAAGACACTGCGCCACAATATGGATTCTGAGATACTTTATAAAAATAAATCATTTTAATAAAGAAGGATAAAAATTTGGTTATGATAAATATTTTACCTTTTGCACTTGTTTTGCACTTTTATAAACTCCATAAATTTTGAAGAAATTTTCCTCAGTAATAAAATAGAAAGGAGAGCAAAGTCTACAGGGTGAATTAAGAACTTATCACGACAATCTGATCAAATGGAAGATAATTATTGAAATAAATGCGTCAGAATTATGTAAGTATTTACAAGTACAATCAAGATAAATACCGTCACCACCAAAAAAGGAACAGTAAAAACATCGACAAATTTAAGCGAGTCATAAGATTATAAATGGTTGTATGTAGAAGTTATCGAAATTATCGAACCTTTTGTACCGTACAATCATTTTATCGTACCAAACCCATCGTACACATGAATATTTGGACAACAGCAATACGTCTATATGTATCTTTGCACAAAGGTATTTGCAATAATGAGTATGTACATAAGTTGTAAATAGGAAAAGCACTAACATTTACGATACGGGCGTTGATCTTATGACTTTTTTCATCGACACAAGATCAGTAACTGCAAATTTACCTTCAATTACTTTTTCACTGTCAAACCTAAAGTCCTAAGATTTCAAGGAAATATGTTTAGGTCAGACTCCCACATGATCCACACAAAAATTGTAATTTCATGAAATATTTTTACTTTAACACGTTTGTTAACATTCTAAAATCCGTCAAATCGATCTGTAATTAATTCTGGGTATTTATGTATGTAATTTAGAAAATCAATGTCATCCCCTCAAATAACCACACCATTTTGTGTTTAATTAATGCATTTATGTATGGTGAAAAAAACAGTCGCTTGTTATATACAGTCACTTTGTTGTTATTGTTATAGGTCCAAAGTGAAAACAAAAACAAAGATAATTTCTACAGAAACCGTATCTCATATCAAAATTGATTCCTTTAAATATGACAGGTGATAGAATTTTGGGCTCAAATACAAAGATGGGATATGGCACTAAGTGAAATATTAATAATAAAAAAATCGGATTGTGAAATTTTCTAATAGTTGAAAAAAAAAGTCTTATACTATCTAGATAAGAATAAAAGTTATGAAAAGCTAATTCCTATTGGTGACCATTAGGGTCTGTAATCCTTAATGTGTTACACGATTAATATTCAACAATTGGACGTCAATTTAACAATTTAAAATTGTACAACCAGCACAAAATTTTGACGTCATTATTGAAGTTTAAATACTAGTAAACTCATAAAAAAATGCCACGTATTGTTCACCCTCATGATTATATGTTAAAGAAAATAGGATTCACTTCTGTATCTTTCAGATATGACACCTTTGTCTGATATCAATATTGGTAGAAATAAGTATATCCTCGAGTGCGACAGATGGAAGACATCTTTGCAACAACAAGTGTTTAATAGTTTACCCGAGCGATCTATGACACTTAAAAATAGGTCACTTGGATATAAAGCTGTGCCACCCATATGTGCTGCACTAAGGGTAAGCAAAAATGATATTTATATCGTGCACTTCGAACTTTTTTTCAATTATTTTTGTTAATACTCCAATGGATTTTTTTTCAATTTCATGAAGATATGATTAAGTGAGATGTGTGACTGTCCGTGATTAGCCGTGATTAGATGATGTTATGTCCCGGCACCATGGTAATGAATATTTAACACTTATTAAAGATTATAACAATTTTAGCAAGAAACGTCACATGATGCACACTTCACAAATCATATGTTCACGATAAAACTAATATCCTTATTTCCAATATCCAAAGACACATTTATAAAATCTACAGAAGCCAAAAAGGTGCCACTTTCGTAATTCCATTTTTAACGCTCTTACTTGCCCGTTGAAAGTATGTCAAAAGTCAACTTTAAGATGATTTTATTTATCACCACAGTGATAATTATTAAAGTAGTAAACACGTAACGATAAGTCGTTATAAATCTATACATTTTGACAAATGAGCCGCGCCATGACAAAACCAACATAATGGGTTTGCGACCAGCATGGATCCAGACCAGCCTATTCTTCCGCGCAGTCTGATCAGGATCCATGCTGTTCGCTTTCAGTTTCTCTACTTGTTATAGGGTTTGTAAGCGAACAGTATGGATCCTGATCAGACTGCGCGGATGCGCAGGCTTGTCTGGTTCCATGCTGGTCGCAAACCCATTATGTTGGTTTTGTCAGGACGCGGCTCAAATATAACCTTAAGTTAATATCAAACAAACAATTACTTATGTTCCGAAAAGGAAATACATCTGTTTTGATATACATGTAATCTTCATTTCATTGTTAAATTAAGTTCAGCGTGATCCTCTCCGTGAAGAAAATGTATAATTATTATATATAGATGCACAGGTATCATAACTTATTTATATGCTGTTTTTATCCAAAGGATAATTTAAGAGTTGAAAGGTTAAACCTGGATGGCGTAGACATAACAGACGATGCCATACAATATGTTGCAGAAATGCTTCTAGATAACATTACAATTACACACCTGGTAAGTTGTCGTTAAATCCAACTTAAAACCTATCAAGCTAGCTTATGGAAGTTCGGTAGTTCTACTCAGGTGTCCGCTTCTGAAATAATGCACAAAGGGGCATCTGAAGTTTTCCTCTACCATGTTAAGCAGGAGCGTCGCCCTTTACATCCACCAAAACAACGAAATACAATAATGTCTTATTATAGATACATTTGATACATCTTATACTTAATTAACAAGTGCGCCTTATGCCGAAATGCAATCATGAAATCGATTATTTATGTTTGGCGCCAACTAATTAATTTTATCTACGTATATTTTTGCACATTTGGAGAAATATCGTTAAATGGAAGCGTATAGGGCTATATCTTATAAATGATGTATTTTTTATAAAGTTAATTAACAATAAAATTATATTGTTTCCGTAATCTTATGGTCGATTATCGAAACAGATGTAACATATAATTCCTGCTATTTGCCTAACATTTATATTGTACGTACAATAATGTTCGGGAAAAAATATTATTTTGCTATTTTAATTAGGGTTTTATCCGTTTAGCAATGGAAACTATACTACCATATTTTTTCATACGGTCAAGCATTATCGTATTTTTTTTAAATAAACAATAATTCTTGCAGTAGATATGTATTGCCTTTTTTTGACTTATTTTTTTTATAAATTCACTTCTTACTTATTGATTCCACTGAAATGTCCGACAATAGGTTTTTAAGATTTTAATACTAAGAAAGGCCTATAAGCAAAATTTTAGATAAGTCGCTCATTCTGATTTGATAATTTTTATTGTGTAAAAAGTCCTAACGAAGAAAAACGTTCAAACGCTTTTACCTGAAA